CCACTTCTCCCTTTGCTCTCCGAAAGAAGAGCCCTCTTCCGCGATAGCTCATGTCGCCTCTCGAGCTCGTCGGGAGTAAGGTCAGGAGCGTGCNAACGCTGAACCGGCACAGCGGGAGTCTTCGGTGTCATATTTGACGGAGCTCGTCTTCGCGAGGANACCTTCGCCGGNGCNGCAACNCTCGCCAGCGTCGCCTTCGCCTGCTCCGCTCGCTGGTGAGCCGAAANCCTAGGNACGCCCCGTCCGAGAACCTTCCCTGGGANGATCCTGNTAGAGAGCGCCTTCTGGACCCTCTGACGAGTGAACGACTTTACCCAGTCGCCGCTCCCNCCAGAAACAAGAGCACTATGGATGGCTGCTGCGACACTCCGGCCGATGGTCGGCAACGCTGGCTTCACTGCAAAGAAAACAACCCGAAAATCAGTATATGAATCAAAGANACNCTAACAAAAAATGTTTCTAGGTAANGAATTACCTCTCTTCTCCCAGCTCGTCCTAACNAANNAGATGCAATCTGCCTCAACAGTCCTCTCCGAAACCTCGGCAAAGAAGAACCGGTCCTCGAAATGGTCGTCTTTACTCGGGAACCCGTCGATGAGCACACGNCCCTGAACAGGGGAAACAAGGTACCTAAGCTCNTCCGCACGACCACGGGGCCNGAAATCCAGCAGGCACGACAACTGCTCGGTGTTGATCTCCACATTGCACTCTCTGCTCAGAACGTAGATACCAATGATATGCCTCAAACCCCTGGGGTTAATCTGAGCAAGGGAGAGGCCGTTCGCCTCTAAGAAACGAAGGAGGAAGCCGGGCACCGGGAACCACAGCAGGCATTGCTCGAAGAAATTCTCATACAGGGTAAAGTACCCCGGAGGCGGAGCATCAGCTCGCTGAGAAGAGTCGGGGAGAACCAGCGTAATCTCATCCGAAATCTCACATCTCTCTCGGAGGAGATGTAATGACTCCGCATCAGAAAGGGTAGATCCNGNANGGTCCGGACGCTTTTTCTTCTTCTTCNTAGCCACCGCAGNCTGGTCAACCTNTGCAAGTNAGTCGTCATCACCGACCTNAGCATCAGAAGAAAGCGACCTAAAAGTAGAGGAAGAGTCTGATGACAGAGCGGCGTCGGCTTCACCAGCTGGAAGCCGCGGNTCCTCATCATTNAAAGGAANAGAGAGTCTAACACCTCGACCTCTGTCCATAAGATCCTCACCACCGCTGGGTCTCCTCTCCTCCTCAAGGTCTGCTAAGTGCTCAAAAGCGTCATCACCACTACCGTTGGGTCCGCCGAGACAACGCCGTGAGATAGTAAGCTTGCTGCGATGACGAGTCCCTTCGTCGATGCTCTCATGACGCGTCGTCGCACCCTTCAATGCTGTTGGAGATACCAAGCTTGCCATCGGATCCATATGCGAAGAACGGG